CAAACACACACACACACACACACACACACACACACACACACACACACACACACACACACACACACACACCCACACACCGTCGGACAAGCAAAGGCAATTGTGTTTGTGCAGACCGTACAAACTCAGGACAGAAGATCTAAGATATGGGCATTTGGACAGCCAACAGAATGTGTACTTGTGTTTTTGTGTTGCAATATTGTAATATAAAAAGTAACACAGACAAGCAGCATGATACTAGGAACACACTTTAGGTGCACAACACCCTCCAGGACTTTTCAACTGATCTTACCGGACTCTAAACCCAAACTCTACTTACCAGGAACTGTGGCCTTGAGGGGATGTGAAGAGGAGCGTGATTCACTCTAGAAGTTATGATGAATATGCACACTTAATGTAAATAATATCCTGCTTTATATAGTGTTTACTGAAAATTGGCCCTTCGATTGTGTTTTATTTATTAAGATAGTTTATAGATTTTCTATTTTCACGGTCAACTTGTATATTTTCTACTCTCTAATGCTGTTTTATTTCTATTTTGAGATGTTACAATTGTAGAATGGTTGCAATGGATCAATAAAGTAAATCTTATCTTATTATTTTCGTATTATTTGAATATAGTCCCATCGCTGGATCATTGCATCATGTAATCGAACTACATGCCTATCTTTTGTGATTTGTCTTTCCCTACCCACGGCTCCTGATGCTTACCTCGCTTTGCACACATGTGACTAAAGGTATTATATCTATTTACAGTAAATGTCAAAGCATTGCTCCTTAATGCAATGCTTCAGTTGACAGGCACACATCCATACCTAAACATATATATCCACAAGTATATATAACATGTGGGGTTTCACTGTTAATGCCATCCGTCTCTCCTTCAATTGATCAATAAGGATAAATCTCAGGTGTATCTAATATTTAGAGGTACGCAGAATATTACACAAAACCACCCTCGAACAAAAAGTACTACAGAGAAAACACAAATGACGAACTCCAACACATATTTATGTTGTAATACTGTATATCCAACAGTAATAGGCTTACCACACACAGGATCTCAGAAACAGAGCACTTACTTTTTCCAGGAGCGGTAGCCATGAAGTGACGAGGTGAAGGTTTTTCAGGCAAAGCCATTCTCCATTTCGGGAACTTTCTCTGAGTGTCGCTAAGGCCACATCAGCCTGGCCCTGACCCATGGAGATCTAGACACACAGAGACAGTGGGGGAGGTAGGGGGGGAGGGGGGGAGAACCAGAAGCAGTGGGAAGGAACATTTGATTCTACATCAACAATTCGGGGGCAGATAATCTGATTCAATATTTGAAATGATTTATCTCATGGGACGAACGATGGAATACCTGCAAAGCTGAATTCCCAGTGGGATTTATATTAATAGAGTTCCCACATCGAGGCTGGTAATTCATAATTAATCAGGTTTATATTTATATGTAACCAATTTGAGTTTGAGTAATGATATACGCAGCGCCCATGTGAGAGAAACGCAGCATGTACGTCCCTCGGGTCCGGCTGTATATGGAATCGCTTTCAAATATACATGGTTGTAGTTACATTGTAAAAATATGTTTAACTGTCAATTGGATATTCTTGGATAAGACTCAGATTCGCGGCGGTATATTGTCAAATGTATTTGAGTGCTCAAGCTTTAAGTTGATTGTAGGAAGGTTGCATACTGAGATAAATATATTTAACAGAGACCAAATAAGCACATATTTTAAAGGTTGCAAATGAGACAAACCGCAATTAGCTGAACAAGTTTTGACATGGATATTCAAAACTGAAGGATGATTCTTAGAAATACAACTGTAATAAAGGAACATATCATGATAAGCATTGTATGTATTTGTTATGCTTTTTGAAGAAAGTGAAGGGGGACAAGTCAGAGAATTTCATAAAACTTTATGAACTTAACCAAGAGTTATGTCTCAATACAGGAGCTCCATCCTTTTGCCCATTTCCATGGACGACTGTTTAGATCTACTCTGGTTATTCTTTTGAAAATATCACGTTGCACCTCACAACCTACTATGATGATTTCCCATGTCATCCTGTTAGACTCTACCTCGTGATAGTTTTCCCTGCCCACGGTTTCAACTGCCAGTTCCGCGAGCTCCTGGGACGGGTCTGCCCCTGGAGAGATGGTGATCAACACAGGCTCCAATTCTAATGTCTCAGCGTAGAGACGGCGGAGGTTCAGAGGAGGGGGGGAGAGCTCCTTCATACCTGCAGAGACAAGGAGAGGGGGATAAGAGGAGCATAAAGGGTGTGAAATACATATCTGTGAAGAGTGTTTCAACATTGCATTTAAAGTTGTTATGCTGCTCAAAACTGGAAGTTCTGCACGGAGAGGGTTTACCAGGAATGGATATATATAAGGAGAAAAAGAGCAGTGAAAGGGGCTTTTGGGGAGGGTCGATGGGAAAAGAGACCATGGGTAGACAAATCAAGCAGAAAACGATGACATGGAGACAAAGGGAGGGCATGAACAGGGAGAGGTAGACAGTGCCTAAAGGAGGGTGATGGGGAAGGGAGGTTGGGGAAATGAAAAGAAAAAGAAGAAGAGAGGCGTTGATGGAGAAAGAAAGAGAGAGGAAGAGACAGAGTGGGAGAGATTAGGAGCGAGATGTGCTGTGCATACTGAGTGCTAGGTATGCAGCAGTATTCATCACACATAGCAGAAGAATACCTTGTCAGCCTCCTGGTGTCGAGGAGCCAGGGTCTTTCTCTATGAGCCTCAGTGTGTGTCTACATTTGTGCGTTTTTCTCACTGAGCATTAGGCTCTAATCCTGCTGTAATGTTATGAGTCAGATATGGGCTAATAGTGACACACAAGCAGTGGCACAGGCTCACACAGTGCGAGTGGCTGTCTTAGAAATTCCTCTATGACGTTATTCACACATCAGTGGATATCTTTTTCACACACACACACACACACACACACACACACACACACACACACACACACACACACACACACACACACCACACAACACACACACACACTTTAGTTTTCTCTTGCTAAGATGAGAGTCTGCTCCACGTTGAAGAGATAC